GTTTTCGAGCTTCACTTTATTTAATACAGAAATCAGTTCATTGTGGACAGAGTGTCATCCGAATGAACTAAGCCTCTTGCGTGGGAGGTGTGACAACCGAAGCACACATCCCGCTGTGGGATTCCCAATAGAACGCTGTTCATGGATTCAGTTGAGGTTACAGCAATTTCATTTTAGCTGGATGTGGTGTAACTTTCGTTTGTAAAACACTCCTAATTTTTCTTTTCCGGAATATTCAACAACTTGGAAGTTCAAACAAACAAGCAACTATTTCCTCCTCTAAGCGCAGGATGAATTTTTCCTAATTGAAAGCTATTTTCTCAAAGCAGACCCATACAATATTTGCAATCGGCGTGGCTGTTCATTAAGGACGTCAGAATAACTGAAACAAAATGACAGGGCTCGAGGGACCCATGGAAGAAAAAAACTACAAGGAACTTCGATCGGAGAGCTATTGGACATTGTTGACGGGAATCCATGTTGGACACTGGATGAATCTCCGAAAGCCAGCGGTTATGAAAACTCACTCACACACCCGGGGACCCGGTAACAGGTTTACATTGAGAAACAAATTCGGACAACATAAGCACAAAAAATATCAAAATATACGATTAAGCAAACAAAAGGCGCTACTATTATCCTTTGTCTTCTTCTCTTCTTCTCTGATTTCCTTACGTGGTGCTCATTTCAATTAAAATCACCTCTTTATTATTATTGTCGTTGAACGCTCAGCATGCTTGTTCGCAAGATGATGATTTTATAAGTAGTGTGCGGGGGAGGGTTCGAATGAAGTATAGCGTGTTTCTCCGAGAAGCAATCAGGTCAACAACCGATTGACTATTTTGGAAGAGTACGAATGAACAAACTGAATGCGGCAGTTCTGGTTATCCTTAGTGTGAGTTAGCTACCATAATGACAATGAACAGCCATCCATCAGAAGAGTCTACAGATAATATTCCGGATAGTCTGATGGATATGCACTAATGATAAACTCGAATGGGAGCAAAACTGAAGTCCGGTCCTTCGTGATTACATAACTGATTGGATCAGCTTGGGATTGGGCAGAAAGATGAAGACTAAAAGATGTTCGGCTAGAGTCAATCTATTTTATTTGTTCATTCAATAATCAATGACGATTATTTGAAAATCTGGCAAACTTTTCATGGGCAGTTGTAGTTTCTGTGAGTTTGGCGCCTCGACCGGTCAAGCGATTCAGATTCTAACTATGTTCTACCATAGGTGGCCGATTCACTCTTTAAAATGCTCCCTCTAGAAAAGAAGTTTGTGGGACAAATTTGAAGATTTTGATTTTCTCGTTTCATGGAAAATTTTCTGTGATAAAACCTGTTCCGCTCGCATACAATCCATGGTCTACGGATCAAACCGATTTAGTAATGTGTGTTGTGTAATAACCATTAGAGAACGGGTGGGTGCACAATATGGCATTGTCGCCATTGACACACGATATCAGTTCACTCGGTGAGATAGTAAAACCGTTTTATAAGATATACACATATAGTTGTCTACGATCTATAAAAACACTACGGAAAAAATGGAACACGTTGGTACGATTTATGTTCTTCGCAGGTACTCGTGAAAACAGTTGTCCTTAACCTCTGAGAGGGTCACCACGTCGACCGTTGTTAGTCGAGTGAGGATAGTTTTACCTCTGTCATGCTTTTAGTTTTATAAACGTAATCTTCAAAATAGGAGTTTGTAACTCACAGTAAGCTTAGACAATGGAACTTCTCTATGCCTTTTGCTGACTGAATGAAACAGCGCGATCATCTTCAAAGGAGTAGTATGGATGTGTTCTACCAATGAGATCTCAGATTCAACCTACGTGTACTATTTAACGGAAACAAAACGACTGCATAGTGCTTTCCATATTCCCATCTCACGCTTTCACAAAAAGGGTTTAATTCAATAAACGAAGCAAGTCTCTCACTACTCCTTGATTCTCAGTTTAGTTTGCAAATTACTAACAGATTTCATTTTAACTAAATTGCTCCAAACTGTACTCTCCCTCTACTCTTAGCTCCAATTAATTTCTGATACGATTACTGTAGTCAACCGTCATCATTTACTTGCCTCGATTAGTAATGTGAGTCTGATCTTCATCAGGAAGAATAGTAAAACTAACTCTATTCACGCTCCAATACTTTGTGTACGCATTCAGGATAATTGGTGACCAAATTATCGATCGGAGTTAGGTATACTTAGTTTCGTTTTGGTCTCGAATCAATTCAGTGCCCTGAACTTTGTACTTTTATCACACTGACCTATTTCGGATACCCTAGTTGTGGATCTGGGCCCTTTCATTTTGGTGTGGCGTCAGTTGGATCGATTTGGCCAACAACACGCTTTAGAAAACTAGCCGACGATAATCACTTGATTGAGTAGATGACAGCGACTCATGAATTAAACCATTGTCAAAGATTAATTTGCTTTGAACAGTTCTATCACCCATAGCTAAGTACATTGATCATTAGTCGAAGTGATGAGAGAATTCATGAGAATTCCTCCATTCAGTTCTTTTAACTAATCACCAAAGTCTCTTCATGTACACTGTATAAAATTCAAAATGTACTTGGCTCGCCATTTTATATTTTCTAAGTTTCAATACAATTTGTTTGTAATCCTATGCCCTATTCAAAGACAACGAACGCATGCCTGAGTAATCACTGATAAGTATCCATCTAAACTAGACTTCGCATCTAGTGTAGGTATCAGCACAACAGTTCGTGTCTGACCTTCTCCGACGATCCTCCAGTTTATTTTTACACATTTCTGAATCAAAGATATTGTGGATGCAGGGGCCTAGATCTTGGTGTTTTACGCTTACTAGCTCTGTAGTGGAATTAACAGAGGCTTGATCGATTAGGGAATGCCTGGGTACATATTATTATACGCGTATATATGATCCTTCAGTGTATCTCTATGTGATGACATATTTTACTCCATTTATTCCCTCAGTCTGCACAACGGAGAGATTCATTCATCATAGATTCATATTCATAATACAGAATGTGGTGGACTAACGCACTTGATGCTACTTTTAAATTTGTTCTATCCTTCAGTGTATTTTGAGTTCCTGTTACATGAACTTTCTCCACCATCCACCAAATGTATTCTGATTGTTTTCATACGACTAACCTCCCAAAGCCTTACATTTTTTGGTGGTCAGTGTGTTGAATAGTGCTACTTTTCGAGATACGGCGCTTTTGTTTAAAACGCTACTTTAGACTTAGTCTTATTAGGGCTTTATTGAATAGAATTGCAACTACAAGATTAAATATATCCTAGGTCTATGATGTATAGATGTGGCGTGAGCTGAAAAGCTGAGAAACACTAAACAGCTGTTTTGACCTGGTTTGTTGGCATCATCAGTGTGAATCCATTGACCCAACAAAGGTTCGAACCCGGGACCTCACAGGTAAAACGCAAGCATACTGCTCACTCGGCCACCTGAAAGCTGGTCAGATAATTTCTCATTTTGAATGAGAATGATAGAGCCCCACCCATATTTGCGATCTTGTGGTCAGTATTGGTTCTAGCTCATCTCAGCACCAGCCTCCGGGGTTATGACTCAGTTGGAAACTTTCACAACCTGACTATATAAACAAATAAAATCTTCCATTGCATTCAAACAGTATGCTTGCGTTCTACCTGAGGTCCCGGTTTCGATGCCCAGGTGGATCAATGGATTCGCACTGTTGATGAGATACAACCAGGTCGAAACAACTGGTTAGTGCCTCTCAGCTTTTCAGCTCACATCTCATTTAGCATACGAATTCATGATATAAACAAATCGAATCCTCCAGTATTCTGATATCCTGGTTGAATTAGTTTCAACCAATACTGCGAGACATATTTCAAATTCCCATTTAATAATACATTTAAATTATAGTTTAGTGAAACGTCAGAAAGCTCGTATTTCACTGCTTCTATATTCTCCAAATGGAATCCGCCATCATTATTGGAAACACAGACGACTATAGCTGCTTAGATATATCATAGGTGAGTGCGGATACCCAGAGCTCATTCCCGGATAATCTTACGATGAAAAAGAGAGCATTAACAAGTAAATGCATGATACCTCGTAGAGCATCTTAAATGCAAACTGTAGACTGCTATTTACACTACATTATGACTGATTTCTTCACTAAATGATTCAATTAGATCTTGTCTACGATCACTCAAAATAAAGGGATAGTAAAGCAATTGTTTTGGAGTTACGGTATAAGGAGGAATGTTCCCAATTTCAATATATATATGCAGGATAGAGAGATTTCTTTCAATAACAGCTACGTATATATTCACACACGCCTGAGTTAAGGCTGTGCTAAACAAAAATCTTTACAACATGATACATGATAACCTGTACTGTCTGGAGTGTATCAACACAAGTTTGCTCACGGATATCACAAATTCATGTACAGAAGGCAAATTGGAGATTTCGGCAAATGGAGAAGTAAAACAGAGCGCGAATTGGGCCAAAGCGTAATTTTACGAAGGCCGTTTTTCGGAATCTTTTCTCTTACTTGGTCTAAGTGATTGTAAGAACAGGAACAAACTACTTGCGGTTGAGTTGATTTTTCATCGCTCATGAATCGGACAAACTCCTTCGTACGGATAGCATTTCGTCTCGTCTCACCACAAAGTGACAAAAGAAGCTTTCAGCTTCTAGCACAAAATTAATCTGGAAAGACCATCTATCTCTTGGCAGTAGCGTGATATAGTTGGTTCTATACCTCGTTTTATTGGAAGAATTCCAGAGAGGGAAATAAAGACAAATCTCATCTCTTCAATTACCGAAAGGATTATACTCTATCACGAATGCATATGTATCCATGATTTTGAGCAATCGTTCTTCCCTATTTTAGTAAATTGTTATCAAGTGCACAATCCGCACCTATCGGAATCGAATAACAAGCTCGGATTATTACTGTTGCAGAAAATGTGCTGGAAACGTTTGGCCTTGTCTGTCTGAATGCTTATTTGGTGAACGGTGTGTTTCAAATTTTCAAGTTGCTTCATAATGTATTTTTATCATACCAACTGCCTCTGATACTTCAACGTTCCGTGCCAAATCGATTTTTCCATAAGAATGAATTATTTTTACAAGCCAGTGTGAAAAGTCAAAACTGATGACGTACAGAAGAGTAACCTTCCATTATCAGCGATTAATATTATTGGCATACACAAAAGTAATGAGCGAACGTACGTACCGACTTTTCATTCTGTTTCAACTCGTCCGATACGGTATGCGGATGGTCAAACATAGATTCGATCCGTTTCAGTTCGTCAGACGCATCTGTTTGCCAATCGGTGAAATTGGATCCTTTTGTTACTTGTTGTAGATAATTTCTCTGTTTCCGAAGTTGGTGAAACAATTCCCGACTGAGTTCCTCATTTTTAACGGCCTGTTTAGTGCGTCATAATAAAGGGTAGGAAAATAAACAGTGTATGTGTGTGTTAGATTGTGGACCCCGAAACATCTTTCAATAACTGAATGTCGGATTGGCACTTGCAAGCCGAGATTTCTGAGAGTCTTTGTAGCAAAACCTTCGTGCACATCCAAGATACATTGGTTTCCACTTAGGTGGGTACAAGGTTCTTTTTGAAGCATATGTACAGTGTGCACAGCAATATGTTTCCGCATTGTTTGATTTTGTTCCCTAAGAGAGATACCTAGATTACAGCCCATCAACACGCTATTAGGTACTTAGTTTTCTGTTTGCGGAAAAAAACCAAATTTCAATACACCGGTCGTTTGAGCCGTGTAGAGTTATCAACTGGCTGCTGGGTACGGATAGCCGTTATCTAGCAGAAGTAATCGCTCTACACCGCCTGCGATGGTTTGATCATGTTTTGCGTATACCTGCCCAGAAACTACCTTTCCGTGCTGTCTTCACACGTGCCGGGCAAGGCTGGAAGAATCGCCGCGGCGGTCAGACCATGATATAGCGCAGAGGTATGAAGAAGCTGGCTTCAGCTTTGGCTTCGGTCGGTACAGCCCGCCTTCCAGGTTGGGGCTCTAGGGATTGGGTTTGTCGTTGGTTGGAGAGGCTGAGAGATATGGCCCAGAATAGAAGTCAATGGCGCGAATGTTGCCTGTCGAAATCCCGTGCCCCATAAAAAACAATAAACAACAAAAAATATCACAAAGTGTAAGGTGAAACACACAAAATTTGTTATCCCATTTATCTACAATTTTCCCGTGCTTATCTGTTTCTCCATCTTTCCACTTTGTTCTGTATCCCAATCCACCTACCCACTATTACTGTTATTGTTATTATTGTTGTGTCGTTGGCACCATGCTTGTCTATAAGCCGGTGTTTTATATAAATATACTCTCAATCAATCTAATACGAATCAAAATGGCAGATCGTTTTCACTTAGATCTGATTGAATACCCTGAACCATGAGTAACAATCGGCGGTGAATTCTATTTTACTGTGCGTTCGGTGTTTTCGACAGATACGTTGGAAACTCTTAAAAATTCTCAGGTCCAAATAGTGGATAGTGCAATACACACTCTGTTGGAGTTCGTTGATTCTGCACTTTGTACAATGGTCAAAAAGGCATCGAACAGATGGGATAGAAGATCCACGATCAACACCATGAGATTGTTGTGTTTAAAAGAACCCAGAGATTTACCAAAGCTGATGATTTACCAAATTACGGTTTCGAAGGATGAGAATGGCAATCTGAACAAAGATTATTTCCGCAGTAAATAACTATTTGAGTTCCAGTTATTCCCTATGGAGCACTTCAGAAAGTAGGATGCTTCTCTGTTGTATCCATAACGATGGCCAGGAATTGAATATAGACAAAGATGATGTGACGAACCCACCCAGTCTCACAAACTTTCTGAGGAGGAACAAGATTTTTGTTGGAGTAACTTAACCGTTTTGATTAGGAACGAAAAAGACATAAGGGTCACTGTGCAACGCGGTAATAAAACATTTACCGTGTTGTAGTACGTTTATCGTGTAGCAAGCCTGATCAAATGTAACTTATATCATTTAGTTTGAGTTTTGACTTTCGATATAATTTTCCACAAGGCAGCTTCGTCATACGTAAGCAAATGACCGGGGAAATCTGAGGGTATCCCCTTCTAAAATTTAAATCCCTGGACGACATACGTACCGATTTCAATTAGATTTTTGTATAAATGTGTACAGAGGATCTACAGAACCCGTATCCCGTAAATAATAATGCACAGAACCATCGGAGATTTGTATCATGATCGCCGTTCATTGGTTGATTTAAGCCCGCAAAGCAGCAATGAACCAAATGGTGAAAACTTTAATGTATCTAATACCTTCTAATGAGGATCTCTACCGTGTAGCGCAGGTAGAGCATTTTGTTGTGCAAACAATTACTGTATGTGATAGTGATTCAAGTGGTAGTAGTAATGTAAGTAATAGTTTTGTTGTTGTTGTTGTTGTTATTGTTGTTTTTGTTTCAGTATTGGTTGCACTTTACGGCCGATAATGGGAGCGTGCCCAACAAGATCAATTGCATAAATAAAAATTGTAACACAGGAAATTTTCATTTTATATGAATGCGGTAGCCCTGCTTTCTATCGTATAATCACGAGTGATCGATGTCCTGGTCATTTATGTTATCCTACTGAATTAGATACTAGTATTTCACTTCCATCGACTGACGTGTCAATGTCTAAATAAGCGTAGGCTTGGTTTTATATGACGCAGTTATCGTTAAGTTTAGCATTCTCGATAATTCGATTGACCGCCGACGAGGAAAGTTAGCATTAAACTACTCAATTTGTACCACAGTACCAACCGACCTTGTTTACTATCCTATAAACTGTAAAGGCAGTCACATGAAGAATGAATATATGGCTGTTTGCATGTTCCCCACCAAAACATGCTTATATTCGCCATAGTTATTGTTGTTTAGCTAGTCAATTTACTTGGAACTCCATAAAACCTCAAATTCTCCACGGTTTTGAATCAGATACAAACGGAACTACTGCTGCGTCTCATTCTGTCGGACCGCTTAATTTATAAACGATACTATTATTCAGATCCCAAGGGACCTCGGCTTATTTCAAATGGAATAAAGGTTAAACTTTTCCATTTTAACGATGTATAATTGACTATTTTGCACAAACGACCGGATCATCGTCACCGAATTCATGATTAGATTATGCCGATGTTATTAACCGAATGATGACGTCCGGGTAAGGGGGTCGTTTTATCTGCCCCGAGTGCTATGACGTAATAATCACATGTTTTTTCAATCCATTTGAAGTCTGTTTTTGAATTTCAGTAGAAATACGTAATTTGATTTTTACAACGACTATGAAAAAAAACTTACAGAAAAAATCGATTTACGTCAGTTTCCACTATATCAAGCAATTACGCTATATCACGCACACAGAGGTTTAGCCCTGATGGGGATACGATATATTTATTCACCGAGTTTAGCTTATATTTCATTAATGTAATACACGCGGATTCTCATACGCTTCGTCCATCTGTCCTCACAGATCGCAAGTTGCCATTCTATGTTGTATTTTAATGAAGGTTGATTACTTCGGTAACGTTTCTGATATGGTATCGTTTCTCATTATTTTCGTACAGTGCCCTCCAACTTTACCAAAATCTATAAGTTAAGATATCGGTGGTACCACTGTACATTGCTGTCCTATTTTCTATTCTTCTTCCTGTTTCACTTTTGGCATCAACGATAGCCACACGTCCCGCGATGTTTCATGAAACTTCATAATTGTGGGATTTTGCGAACCTAGTTTACTTCATTTTCGGCAATCTTCCCACCTAGAAATGGGAATAAACCTAATTCCAATTGTTCCTGAATTTGTACTAAAGCATGTTTGACTAGACGGTGAATCCTTAGTCCTAAAAGCACGGTACCAGCTCACCTGTTTGCAACGGTGGCTGATGAAGTGACCCTGAAAACTACCGCCTAGTTACACTTCCTCCTGTTCTATCAAAAGTAGTAGAATCAATTGTTTCTGTTCCCGCAACTTTGGTCCACATAAGTTCTGTATTTCCTCGACGACATTGTTTTCAAAATTCTAATCTTTCCTCTTCTCTTTCACCTAGATGGACGGATAAATGACAGAAACCAAAACTATCTTAATTGAGTAAAGGGTTAATGATTTTTCAACCTGAAGCTGAAACATAAGGTAAAATTCAAATTCGCATCACAATGTTTGATGAAGAATGTGCGTTAGAACGTATTTTTGTAATGTATTACACCATGAACCTCCTGGAAATTCAATTGAATTTGTTTGTATTCATGATCAACAACATTTACACATATACCTGCAACGCACACACGGGAATGGTTTATTTTTTACTGAATAGCACTACTTACTGCTACTGGTAAAGTTGCACACTGTTTACGGGAGCCGGCGTGAATGCCAATGGGAGACTTCACTAGTGTTGCCTATACACTCGGTTGTCTCTTAAGAGTCTATTGCATTCTGCAACTGCCTCGCTTTGTAATGCAATGCATCGGTTGTTACGGGAGAAGGATCAGTGCAGGTTACCGGTATTTGAACACAGCAGTCTCGGCCGCAATGGACTGGTTTGATTGAGGCAACCAAACTNACCAAACTACCGAATACTGAGGTCGGGCGCAGAGTTACAAGTCATCGTGGTCACGGGCGAACGCTGTGTTAACAAGGTACAACATCAAATTACTCCTAAGGCTTCGCGATGAAAATGAACAAACAACGCCTATAATGAAATTAAAAAAGTAAGTAGCCGCAGATCCGAATACTTTTTTGATCACACAGGTGGTCTTATTTGCTTCATTTTGCAAAAAAAAACATATTTGATCATGATTACCGATGAATTCATTATTTTGAGACAAAACCAATTGAGACAATATCCTTTTTCTTTCTTTCAGTTTCCCAATCCGAACATTGTCGTCGGATTGCCACGGTACTCCATTTCTGAGGGATTTTGTCAGCCAGAAAAGAGTCTTCTGCGGTTTTTGATGAACCAATTTGGANGGAAAGGTGGAATGTGAGTTAAAGAGATCGATGGTGGTACAAACCAGAATGCCACACGCGTGCAGATTTCAATGACATTAATGATAATGATGATTCCGATCGGTTTATTTTTCGACAGGTCAATCCCGCCTCGTGTGTGATCTGTATCGAGCACCAAGGAGTTGAAAGGTTGAATACGCGTTCACTATTTGACTGTAAATTCAAGTGTTAAAACAACAGTTTCATAATTTCCTTTTCGATATCATAGCTCAAGAAATAAAGCTTTTCTAAATACCTGAAATATCAAAACACTTTTGTGATATAAAGTTTTGTGCTATTTGATTTCTGTGGATATTTCTGCTCTCAGCTCACCACCATGAACCCACATTTTTGTAGGTCATCAGTACCTATCTTATCCTTGTCCCTCGACTAAATCGTCGGTTTCAATTCTATTCTCGAATTTACCAGTCTCTATTTGTCTTTCAATACCTGTTTCGTCCATGTAATTGTCTTCCTTCACTACGATATCAGTCTGTCTCACTAACTTCCATTATAGTGCGGCTCATAAACTCCAAAAATTTTACTTATTAAAAAACTCCACTTGCGGAGTGGATTGTTTTAATCTTTAACTCCTTCGTAATAATTCTTTGAATTTTGTCAAAGGTATCATAGCTCTACCTTTTGCTTGGTTACATAAGTATTCTTAAAAAGGTTTACGACTCTTGCTAGCTCTAACCAGACTCCTGTGATAAAGAAAACAGACCGCAACATTTATGAATCCCCATGCCCTTAGCTCAAGATGCAACCATTCACCGATCTCTGTTGCTTGAAGGAATAAACGCCTTCCTATGAGTCTCTTTAGAGATATTTCACTACAAAACTGTTATATTTTTATCATGTGGGATCACTTGAGATGGATAGATAAGATAGAAATTCCTAATGCTTACCGAATTAGTCAGTTCCTTCTGCAGCTCGTCTAGTTTGTAGTGCAGTTCAGTACAATATCCATTAAGCAGATCGTTGGCACGTTTCAGTTCGATCGACCGCGTTGAAGCTTCTACCGCTTTGTTTGTGATTGATTCCAATTCCTCATTCTTAAATAGTAAAACCATAAACTATATTAATAATCAAGCAATTGTATCCTCATTTATAAGAATATATGTATATATTTTCACACACGTCAGAGTTCAGGCTGCGTGCCAAACAAATCACAGTACAATGATCTTTTAAAAAGGAGAAAGGTTCCTTAATTCACTGATGAACGAGATGCTGCTAGGTTTTCCGGGTAGAGGCAGGTTAATTTTCTTGGGGAATTTACAATCGGAGCCTTCGGCTACGGGAAGGTAATGAGTATGGCTTCCTCAGCAGAGGCTGTTTGGCGAGGTGTAAGGGAGGAGTGACTCGCCTCAACCCAAAACACCTAGCCCAGACCATTGTGATAATTCGAATAGTTAACCAAGAAATTGTGTGGAACATAGTAGGCCTGGAAATAAAACTAGCAAACTAGGAAAGGTGATTTCTTGGATGTATTTTTGTGAGATGTGAATAATGATTGCTAGAAATTACCCTTCCAGCAGTGTGCTTAATCAATATCCGAGTCCACTAACGACATAAAATAAAGTCTGCATAAAAGCGGTTCGATAAAATAGCAGGACAAGAAAATATAGAATTAACCGTTTTTATTTAGGCAGAATTGGTTTGTGCAGTGCTTCAATTAACACATACTATTTTTGTTCGTATTTTTTGTAATAATTTAATGCAATGCATCGTCTGTGTTTTCAATTTTGTTTTCATTTGCTATCATGATATGAGACATGTTATTCATTGTGTTGTGTGCCTTCCAAAACACTGGGCTTGGAATCAATAGATTTTTCCTGAGGTTATCACCATCATTGTAACTGAATCAAATTCAAAAAGGTACCGCGGATTGGAAATGAATGCATTAACATGAACTGATTTAAAAGCATTACCCAACTGTGATTGAATGATTTCTGGCGTGTCGTCGAGTGTTTTTAATGAGTTGTTGTTGTTGTTTAGTCAAGCTGATTCATTCAAATAAACAGAATGCAAATATATCATATTGCATTGCTGATTCTGACAACCTTTTCTGACCTATTGATGCGCAATAATTTAAAAGAAATGCTTTAGTTATTCTCTATATAATGCGAGTACAGTATAGGAAAGCTCCAAATAGTTCCACTCTATAAGCAATAGAGAGATTAGTATACTGTAAATATTGTTCGGGAACTCGTCCCATTCAGATATTTGATGAACGACACTCAAAACCACTACTTTCTTACCCCACACAACCTTTGGAGTAACTGACCGATTTCGGGTTTTATTTGATCGGGAGGGCTGAAACGTTCTCGTCGTTACTTAAAAAACAAAAACTGACAATAGTTCTATGTAATCAGTTTTGTAGTGATTTCGAGATATCACCTAGAGATGACGTGATTTACAATTTAGTTGTGCGTAATTGTGTGGTACGGATATTCTTTCTGTTTTGAACGAACTATCCTCCTCGTTTCATATTCAGATGTAACCAGTAGTTTATCCAGTTACTTTGGGGAGCACCAAGTTTATTTTTGACTGAACTGAGGATTTTCTACAAAAATGACGCTCGAGAAATAATCGGTTAGAGAGGGGACAACTTTGCCATTAGTTCTTCTGCAAGAAGATCAGCCAATAGATTTAAATGTACGATGCGAAAAAGGAGAGTATCTTTTTCCAAAGAGACCATTTTTTAACGCACACAATTTGAAGAAAGTTGTGTATTCTACTAAAACGTTTGCAATTGTCGATCTGAAGTTTGATTGATACTGTGACAAGCGGAACTCTGTCCAGCTAGTCACTAGTTTTCGTCACCATCAAATTCAACGCTACCGACATCCAATTATAATTATAATTATAATTTATTTCTAGTGCCTCAGAAGTTGAGACCAAACGATGAACAAACAACACAAAACCCGTTTCTTGCCTCAACTGTTATACCATTAGGTATTGCTAGCACCTGTTCTCACCTTAAAGCGCAATTCTTGTAGCTCCGTTTGTGCTGTTGAAAGCTGCTCATTCAGCTGAATGTTTTGCTCTTCACTGGTCATCCACATTTTGGATACACGAACACGTTCGTCCGTGGCGTGCACATATTCTTGATTCAGTTGTTCCAGTCGTCTAGTCAATTCATCTACACACTGGCGAAGGTTGCGCTGTTGCGAAAACGGAAAAGAATTTCAGACGGAAAAAATTAGGTACCAGAAAATCTACGATATTAGATACTCGAGTATGAATGAGAGCATGTTTTGTCATCAAAATAAACAACAGAAGCAAATAGCTGATTATCTGCGTCGTCCATTTATGGACTGATTGATTGATTGATTGATTGATTGATTGATTGATTGAGTGAGTGAGTGAGTGAGTGAGTGAGTGAATGAGTGAGTGAGTGAGTAAGAGACGGAGGGAGGGAGGGAGTGGGCGTGTAAGCAGCACTGCAGTCACCAGTAGGTATCTGGTCACTTTTATCCGTTCAATCTATGGATGAAGGAATTTAGTTAGAAGACGATAAAACTATTCGATCGGCATTTCAATAGATTCCACCAGGACTGAAAGCGATGAGCATCAAAGAAACTATCGTAACTTTTCTGTGGTTTGTAGTGATCAGCATTATAAAGTGTTGAGCTATTTCTTAACTTCAGTACACAAGTCCGAAGGCGAACAATTGTTTTCGAATGATTCATAATCGTGCCTGTACAGATCATATAAGGGTTTGTTGTTAGTGGGGACACATTTTCACGCTGGGTCAAAGGGTCATTTGGGATGAGGAGAGGAGAGGGGAGAGGTAAGCTCTATGTGTCTGTGTTCGGGTGAGACTGATTGTGATTGGAGGATTGGTGGTGGTGATGTTGATGATCAATTTGGGGCCAGGGTAAGTGGAGAGCTTGAACCAGTCGCTTTTGTGCACATAGTTCTGGTGCGAATAGGCGAATGCCTATCGCCTCAGCGGTGGCTAGTGTATG